CCTCTTGATAATCCAATAATTTAAAAAATTTTATGTTGAAAAAACGCGAGCAAAAAATTTTTTTTCAAGAAATTTGACTTTTTTTATAAAAATATTCATCAAAATTTTTTGAAATAGAGCAAAAAAACTTTGTGCGTTTTACTCTCAAAATAGTATACTTTTAAGGAAAAAAAAAGCCTGGGGTTCACTGGACCCCATGTGACCTCAACGGGTTAAAATATTTTTTAGGAGGGTTAAAATAATTCAGAAAAATATTTTTGCCAGATTATGTAAAGAAATATATTTTTAAAAATATTTTTAAAAATTTGCAAATAAATATATTCAATAATATTTGTAAAATCTTTTAGAAATATTGCTTAAAAAATAAAATATGTTTAACTCAGCAATAATTGTCTTCCGTTTGAAACGTTTTTTTTTAATATTTGAAAAATATACATTTTTATACTTTATTTTGAAAAATATTTTGTATATCTACATATATCATCGCAGCAGTGTTGGGTGATTATATTGCTGGCAAAGATATGCCTTGCGAATGTTATGATTTTACTTCGCCGGAGGCCTGCTTATATTAGCTCCCAACTTAAATTTACTTACGAGTTAGTTTTGCCATTATGCGCCACTTAGCGGCGTCGTTGTGAATTAGCATGGAAAGATGGGCTACCATGCATTTTTTTTAATTAAGGGGTTAGGCCACCTTGAATCTTCAAAAATCGCGTGATTGTTAGAATTTTTTTTGGAGAAATAATAAAGTAACTACAAAATCAATTTATACACTTTATTATACATATTTCGAAGTATATCAAAAATTTTCTAAAGTTAATATTTTTTCCCAAATGGCGGCTCTAAAGCAGCATTTGTTTGATTTGATTCGCTTCGGGAAGAGCAGTAGAAGTGGTCACCATTTAATCGTAGGGCAAAACAAAAAAATTTTTATTATTTACATGAAATTTGCTAGAGAAGTACATATGAATTTTTCAAAATATGGATTTTTGAAGAAATGGTGAGTATTTGAACAAAAAATTTTATTTTTAGGTAAAAAAAACTATAAAATTCTCTAACTTAGAATATTGTTAATGAATCGTAAAATCTGTATGTATTTCTTTAGATAATTTAGTTTTAAAGATGTCAAAATTTCAAGTAAATCGGTCAAAAATTGTTCGAGTTCTACTGTTCGTCAATTTGAAAAATGCATTTTTGAGAAAAACGCATTTAAAGTTTTAAGTAACAATATTTTTTGAATAAAAACGAATTTTTTAAGCATTGGGAACAATTGCATATTAAGTATTTTTGACATCCTAAAGAATGTTTTAAGTAAAAAAAAATAAATTTGATTTTTTGAAAGTTTCAAGGTGGTCTAACCGGCTCTTAAAAATATTTCATAATATTTCAAAAATATTTGAAAAAAGATTATAAAAAACCAATAATAAATAAAATATTTTTTAAATATTTTGAAACAAGATTATAAAACAATAAATATGTAAATTTGAATTAATATTTTAAAAATATATTTTAAATATTTAAGAAAATATCTGAGTGAGATAAAGAAGAACATTTTTATAAATATTTTTAAAAGATTCTTAAAATATATTTAAAATGTTACGGCAAAAAATTTTTAAATCATTTGTAAGCGCAGAGAAAAATTAACGGAGCTACCGGGACTCGAACTCGGGATCCTTCGCTCACATGCCTAGCACTTAGGCTGCTACCCCACGACTGCTTCACTACTACGCTAATTTCTCCGATCCCTCATCAATACTGGCCCTACGGCCCCATATCTCCTACACATTTTAAAATATTTCTAAAGCCATTTTAAAATATTTCTAAAATGTTTCTTGCAATATTTTTATAGAAATATTCAAAAATATTTTTTGAAATCATTTTGTGCTGTATACGCTTAACAGATTTCTCCAACCTTTTTCTGATAATTTCAGCATATAATTTGAACTCTGAGCACAGAAGAGAAATATCTCTATAATTTTCAACAATGTTTTTATCGCCTCTTTTATGTAGCGGAACTATAATAGAGGTTCTCCAATCCTTTGGTAAAATTCCTTCCTTCCAAACCTGATTTAAAACCTCCACTAGGGTGTTCCATTTTAATCGATTACCCCCAAAAACTTTTATTTGTGATTCCAGGAAGAGATGCTTCAGGTGAAAGTTGTTTGGTTTGAAAGGGGACATCTGATTCAAATGTGAGTCGTGTCGTACATGTCATCATTTTCAAGAAATTTTAAAGGAGACTAATTTCTTAAATGGAACTTGATTTTTGCTTTGAAATAAAAGTTGTAGATCTCGTCGAGACGTTTTCAAAATACTATAATAAAGCTTTCTTTCGTTAAGAATTTCCTGAGATATTAAAAATTTTGTTATAACTTTTTTAATATAAAATATGAATTATCTTGTAAAGTATTCATTTTTCGATGACTTTTATACGTAGAATAAGAGAAAAGAGAAAGTTGATTGTTGTAAAAAAATAAACAGATAAAATTATAAAAAAATTCGATTACATTTTATATAGACGCATTCAATTTTGCAAAATTGCAAATGTAAAATTATTATTATTCGCTTCTTTCATTAAAAAAAATGGGGTAAAAGTGCATAATAACTGACTCAGCTTCAATGACTTTAATCTTGACATATGTTGTCAAGGACATGGCCCTGAATAATTATTAACAGATTTTAAGTGTCTTTCGTTATTTATTAAAAAGTTATTAAAAGAATTTACACAAATTATATGTAATTTTCATATGCTACGTACGTTTTACATAATGTATTCTTAACTGCTTTACTCATCTATTTATGTGTAGTAAATTGAACGCCTCTCTTAACACACCCCTCCGGAAAATCTAATTAACCTAACTCAACACATTTCGTAGAGGTTATTATTTTGAAAAATTACCGAATTTTGAGGAAATAAGAAAAAATACAAAATTGAAAATTAATAATACATTTTTATGTATATAATCGAAAAAACTCAAACTAATTGTTGTATGGGTGGGTCAGATTTTTTAAATTTCTGTTGTTCATAATTCAGTGCTAAGGGAAGTAATTTACTGATATCTGTGTATAGACAGTACACATGTAGGCGGGGGAGGGGTTACCGTTCCGTTCCCGCAGGCAGGGGTGGGTGGAGGTGGACCTTGGTTCGCGTGAAAAGTTGAAAACCCGAACCGTACAATAATAGATCTTGTCTTATATGCAGGCCCGGGGTGGGTGGAGTAAACTTCGTTTTGATCCACCCCATCCTACCTCTGTTTACAGAGCGAAACAAGGTCTATCATTGACTATAACGTTTACACGGCTTCTAACTAATTCGATTTACAGTAACGTTAATGTTATAACGCCTATTTAAGGTGAGTTGCGTTTACACGGTCACTCTTCTCTTATTTCCGCCAAATTCGGTTTTAACATTTTTTTTTATTAAACGGTATCCATAATTAATGTAGAGAATCTAAGCCGATTTTTAGTACTTTTTGAATTAAAAAAAAAAAAAACTAAATTTGAGAAAGTTATAGCTTGTTAAAGTTTCTTTGATGACGGCAACTTCAAAAGGTATGACGTCATTTCTTATATAAGGTATGACGTCACAGCACATTTTCGTGTAGGTACTATTTTCTTCAATTTTGAAGATATTGCAAAAATTCAAAAAGTTTACAAAGAAAGTATGCCATGATCTATCTCAGACTGCTCAATAAAAAAAATTTATGTTAAAACCGAATTGAAATAGCTTAACAACTTTCGAGTGAAGCAAGTCAAGGATTCCTATTAGTACCAATATAAAAGTATGAAAAATTAAATGCTTGCTTGTGGTAGGGTTGTGGTCTGAAAGAATGTAAACAAGTCAACAAACGAAGTGAATTTTTAGGTTATATAATTTGGAAATCATTAAATATTTATTTGTCAAGTAAAATGTAATATACATATAATTAACAAGTAAAATTGAAATTTTAGGTTGTTATCAATTTTGGAAACAATTAATCGGGGAGAACATGGAAAGCGTTCGCTCGTTTGTTGCCATATATGTATATATATACTTGACAACTGTAGAAAACATGATCATGCAATGGTCATTTAATGATCATTTAATTTTTACGGTTGGTGTTATCGCCATCGTCACATTGCGACCGTTTACACGTCCTTTTTACGTCGATGTAATAATCCTAAGCCTCTTCACTAAAAGACTTTGAGTTACTACGATGTAATAACTTTGTCATAAAAGAATGTTTACATGGCATCTAACGTCAGTAATTGACCTAGTTTACATCGATCACTTGATACGCGTATTAAATAGTAAATAACTAGTAAATAAGTTTGATTATTGGCTGATCAGTTCAAATATACTATTTGATACGCGTATCAAGAGATCGGTGTAAACTAGGCCATTATAACATCGATGTTATAACTTCGGTGTAAATCGGTCTATGTAAACGTAGTCTATGTCAAGGTCAAGGTCACCGGAGGTTGCTAACTTAATGTGTATTTTTACCATACTTTTAATTAATTATAAAAGAAAAGTGTATCTGCATAGTTAAAACGTTTTAAACAAAACATATACATATATTAACAAGGTTATGTGACATATAGTACGTATACATACTTATGAAACTAAAGTACGTACGTATCATACTTAGGTTGCGGTTCACTTGACGTTACAAATGCTTCGAAGGATTCCTCTTCTCTTTTCTTTCAATGAAGAAAGAAGGAGAAGAAGAACGCTCAAAGCATTTGTAGCGTCAAGTGGACCGCAGCCTTAGTATCATACGTAAAATACCATGATGTATGATACATAGGATATGATACGTTCTCAACCATGGTGTGTCACATCAGTTGACACATTGCATGAATTGGTATGGAAAACTTGTCAGTAAATACAAAATAATAAATGGAATTTTTTTAACGTGTTTGATTCTCAATGAGAAAGCGTGCTGAATTGTGTGTTAAAATAAGTGGATGACACATCGAATATCTGCTATAGAAAAAGCTTATAACTCAGAAATAAGTGATTTTTGGAGTAATGTTTATTAAGACTTTTTTATTTGTTTTCACAAGTACTACATACTGTTAAAATTTGGTACCACTTTTTTTGAACACTCAGTATACATATATCACACACATGGATTGGTCTCGTCCCATTTAGCACGAGATATTATCATATTTCTTGATAATATGATTATGTAGCATATCTTTCCTCAAACTATTTTAAAAAGGATAATTTTTCTAATCTTATTTAATTAAAAAATCAAACATGATAAATCTATAAAGTTTTCAATAGTTAATAAAAGATTTCTTTTTATATCTCTTATACCATTGAACATGTCTCAAGACATGACATTGAATATGTCTTTTATTTTTATCAATAAGTGAAATTAATAAATATTTATTATGAATACTATGGATATTATATTTTGAATTTTATATTACTAAAATTTTAACTTATTGGTTTTGTGTATCTCTATTCTTACTTAGATATTTTTAAGAAACAATCTTTATTTAATTAAGTTTTGATTTATATAAATACAACATAGCCTTTTTTTATTACGGAAACAGATGTTGAAATAGTATTAAATGACTTAATTAAAGTCACTTAAATATTAATAAGTATTGTCATATATCAATTTATTTTGAAATTGTTGCCGTTTCCATGTAAAATCAGGCATAAGAGTTTCTTCAACAAATGTTACATTGTTTGAACCATCAATTAATAATATAGAATGTGTCCTTGTACCATATTCTTTTCCAGAAATAAAAATTGAACTAAGATTTTTATATTTTATTGGACATCTTCTTTGTAATTCGTCATCTGGTAGATATCTGTAATAAATATATATTATATATACGTGAATATTTTATATTAACTGAATACAAACATATTAATACAATTTTGATATTAAAATTATTTTAATATCTTAGTATTAAAATTTAATATAGATGGCATACTTTTTTTTTGATTTTAAAAAATGAATAAGCTTTTCAATTAGATCATCTTGTTTTGATATATCTGCATCTTGTACAACATGCTTGAATTCTTCCTTTCCTACTTCCACTTTTTTATAAGAATGATCTAATCCACCATTTCCAATACCTATAATATCACTGTTATAAATTTTTTTAGGTCCAGGAGATTTTATACTACTCAGATAATGTACGTCAGCATTGCTAAAAAAAAATACACAGTAATTAAGAAATTTAGTAAAATTACTTATGTAAGATTTTAGATTTTATTACTATTATAATTAAATAAAAGCAGCTGAATATTCAGGTTTATAATATTAGCTATTATCTACGTACTTTAAATTGAATAAAACCAAACAATAAGGATTGTATGGTTGTCCATTAACATTTTCCTTGTGTAAGGTACTTAAGTATGATTCTATAGAATCATTAGAAGTAATAAAATTGCTTATCAAAGAACCACGACCTTTTCTTGAGGAATTGGTTATACTTTCTCCATTAAGATTTAAAATAACAGCAGCTTTTCCTTTTATTGATAAAGCTAACCAAGTTCCACCTTCTTTACCAGGTTCCATGTCAGTACCTATCTCATAATTTTATATAAATTTAAAAAAATTGATATTTTTCCTTTAAATTTAATATTGTAATTCAAGCTATTAAATGTCTAAAGAAATTTTCACAATGTTATTGTTTCAGAAAATTTGCTGATATTTTCATCATACCTCCCAAACATTCAGGATGTTTTTCCCAATAGTGGGCTGATGATGCAGGACGTTTATATGTTTCATCTCGATTTGATGCAATTATTAATCGATAAGATCTAACAGCAGCGTTTGGATTGCGATAAATAAACAAGATACACATAGTTAATTAGAGTATTCGTACACTTTTCCTTTTTTTAATTTATAAGTTTCTATTTTGAGTTGAGACACAGTATCACATCCCTTATTCGTCAAGAGATTTAAAGAAGAACTTATATTTGCTGGTATTTATATTGTCATATTTTCACATTCTGTGACACCGATAACGTTATCAGATATCGGTCATAAATTAAGATAATGTTATATTGCACAACCTCTGATGATATGTATTTGTTTTGTTGTACTGTTACAAAAATGGCTGTTTATAAATCAATATAGATACTATGTTAAATAAAAATATAATAAAGTAAGAATTTTTCTGATAATACATTGCATTTAGTTAAAATTTATACCAATAACAACATGAGAGTTAAGCTCTCTTGTAAAAAAAATACGTGTAAAACCTTGTTATATGAGCTGGCAAGCGTTTCAATAATAGATATTTAAGAGAAAGAATAGAAATGTTGAAAAATTAGATCCAATATAACATGTATGCAATGAAGTTTTTCTTCCACAAAAGCATGTAAGTACTGTGCAGTACTATGTTATGTGAGTACAGAGTTATCACAATTCTTTAATCAACAAATTCATATTGTGTAAATGCCAAGTAAATGCCATAAGTATTCAGATTATTTTTAATAGTATTAGAAACGAATAATCAATTTATATGGAAAAGTTTCGTGATAAAACTGAAAAATTTATAGACAAATGCGCAATTGTCTATTGACAGCCATTTGTGCAGACTCGACTCAGGGTGCACTCCCATGTAGAAGAAAAAGCGGAACAAAAAGGAAGCATAGTAGGGGAAAACCAATCAGAACGTTTCTTTAAAAGACGATAATATGTATAATCACCAATGAGATACTAAGGCCGGTATTCATAATCAGATCTTATTTCAAAACCGTCTTAAGTAATATCTTAAGATGCTAATACGGCTCTGTGATTGGTTAATGACATCTTAAGATTGTACTTAAGATGGTCTTAAATATAAGAACCGACTATAAATACCGGCCTAAAAGACCGAAAACCTTAAAGCCCCTTGCACAATAGGCGATAGCGATAGCGACAGCGACAAGGTTGCCGACAAAGCTATTAGGCCCGGTCTACAATGGATGTCGGAAGTCGGAGTCGTAAGAAATTGACCAATCACAGTTCATTATTCTTCGACCGCAAGGAGAATAATAGATTGTGATTGGTCAATTTCTTACGACTCCGACTTACGACATCCATTGTAGACCGGGCCTTAAGTTGCCGGCAACTTTTTCGCTGTCGCTATCGCTATTGCTATCGCCTATTGTGCAAGGGGCTTAATTTTCGTGACTACCAAAATCTCATTGTATGCTAACGCCCTCTTAAGCCCGGTGTCCACGATGCAAGAACTGTGTCCAAGTTTCGATTTAAGCCAATCAACTTGCAGCTCTTACAGAAAAGTAGCAGTTTCATTGGCTTAAACCACCGACGAGATACTATTAAAGACCGACAACCCTGGGGTAAATTTTCGTGACTGCCCGGGGGCCCGGTGGTAATTGAAGAATACTGACATTATCGACTGTTTTGGCTATTTGACTATTCCAAAGAAGGGAGTTTTACCTTATATAATCACTGTTTTATCATCAGAAATGTACAAATCTTTTATAATTTTTTCAATATTTGTATCTTTTTATATCTTTTTGATGTAATTGACAATTATATATATGAAAATACTTTACAATAAATATATATAAAGGAATAATATATACATATATATATATATATATATATATATATATATATATATATATATATA